AAATTAAAACATAAAAATATAATAAGAAAATATTATAAAAGTTGAAGAGTCAAAATTGAAAAATAAATTAAATTAAATTTTGTATATTTTATTATTTTATATGGAAGGGGTATAAAAAAATAATAAGAAAAAAAAAGTGTAGGTGAGGGTGGAGATTTAAGCAGCCGACTCCACAGGCTTAGTGACGGCTACAAATACTCCCGTTGGCATTCAGCTCATTCATTTTTCTCAAACAAAACTACAAAACAAAAATGGCTTTGCCTTTCGGCTATTTCGAGCTGATTCTTGCAGCTTTTTGCTATCTCTGTATCTTCGTTTTCCGGCAACGGCACCAATTTCTCTTCGACTGGCCGTTTGTCGGAATGCTTCCGGCATTGGTTAGTCATGTCGACGTGATCCACGAACGTTGTGCCGAGATTCTCCGGTTAACCGGCGGCACTTTCTTGTTCAAAGGACCATGGTTCATTAATATGAACATGTTGGCCACCGTGGATCCGGCAAACGTCCACTACATCATGAGCTCCAACTTCGTGAATTTCCCGAAAGGCGACGAGTTCCGGGGTATTTTCGAAGTTCTTGGAGACGGGATCTTCAATTCGGACTATGAGTTGTGGCGGAGCCATCGGAAGATCACTAGCTGTTTGATCAATAATCAGACGTTTCTACGGTCCGTTGCAAAAACGAACACGGAAAAACAAACGAACGGGTTGATTCCGGTTCTTGATTACATCGCTGCAAACGGGATCGTCGTAGATATGCAAGACGTGTTTCAACGGCTTACGTTCGACACGACTTGCATGTTTATAACTGGACACGACCCCGGGTGTTTATCGGTCGATTTCAAAGACGTTCCGTTCTCGAGGGCCATGGACGAAGCCGAAGAAGCCATTTTTGCACGTCACGTTGTTCCGAAAATCGTTTGGAAAGTACAAAAATGGTTAGGGATCGGGAAGGAAAAGAAACTAAAAGAGGCGTGGAAAACGTTAGACGATGTGACCACGGGTCTCATAGCACGAAAACAAAAAGATCTAAGCGAAGGCGTATCGTTAGACTCTAACGACATGTTGACGTCTTTGATAACCGATCGTCAATCTTTCAGCGACGGAATAATTAAAAACAACGATAAGTTCTTAAGAGACACGATCTTAAATTTGATGATTGCGGGCCGGGACACAACGAGCTCATCGTTGACGTGGTTTCTCTGGCTCGTTGTGACCCACCCAGATATCGGAAAAAAGATTCGAGACGAGATGAATGGGATTATTCCCAAATCGGAAGTCGAAAAAAGGCGAATTTTCGAAGCCAACGAAAGTAACAAATTGGTGTATTTACACGCTGCATTTTGCGAAGCGTTAAGGTTATATCCACCGGTTCCGTTTCAACACAAGGCTCCGGTTCAACCCGATGTTCTTCCTAGCGGCCATCGTGTCGATCCCAATATGAAGGTAACAACTATTTATTTTGATACAAAATCGATCAAAACGTTCTTTTTTTATTATACTAGAAAGTTACTCGGGCAATGCAGCAAGATACGTCTTGATTTTGATGTTTCGTTTTTTTTTCTGTCTCGGTGGATGTTATAATATGGTTTTGAGAGAGTGTTTTATTTTTAAATAAAAGATAAATATGAAGATATCATAAAAAATTGAAAAAATATATATTAATATTAGTACCAAACTAATTATTTAAATTTTTTTTTTTGTAATTTATTTAATTTATTTTTCTTATTATAATCTAATTTAGGATTAATGACAAAGTTATTTATTTTTGTTTAATAATTTAATTTTTTATAAAAGATAATAATTAAGTATTTTGTTGGAACTAAATAATTATTCTAATTATATTCTATATTTTTTGTATTTAAAATGAGATGTTTATACTATATTTGATTATGTTTATCTGTAGTTAGTTACACGAATTCAAACATGAAGCTTTAATAACTTGTACTTGCGCACAATTTACTTGTAATTTAAATTTTAAGTAATATGCATCAATAAACAGTACGTCATGCATAAAAAAATATTTTTAAGAGTTTTTGTCAAATAATTTATAATATATTTGATTATATACATGTGATTTTGAAAAAGCCATTATGTTTTTATTTGTGAATAAAATATAAACTTGAAAATATCATAAAAATTTGACAAAAATATATCGATATTAGTATCAAATTAACTATTTAAAATTCATATTTTTTGTATGATTTTTTTACTTCAATTTTTTTATTATAATTTAATTTAGATTCAATAACGAAGTAATTTATATTTGGTTTAATAATATAATTTTCTTATAAAAATAACAATTAATTATTTTGTTATAACTCGACAATTATCCTAATTGTATTTTAAATTTTTTATATTTTAAAATGAGATATTTATTCTCTATTTGATTATGTTTATCCGCAGTTAGTTACACGAATTCAAACATGTAGCTTTAATAAGTTGTACATATGCAAAATTTACTTGTAATATTGAATTATAAGTAATATACATCAATAAACAGTACTTCATGCATAAAAAATGGATTTTAAGAGTTTTTGTCAAATGTTTTATAATATAGTATATAGATAATATTAAACGTGCTATTTATTTTGAAAACAACAAATAATTATATAAAATTAACAATAATAGAAACTACATCACATGAAAATTAAAAGCAATCGTGTGTTAATAAAATTCATATGGCATCGATGTCTTTTTCTAATCACTAAAAACTTGAGATACAAGTTATATATTTTGTAATATAAGTTGTTTCTTCATAATTTTTAACTTTTTGAATAAGCAATTAAATAATCATTTTGCAATAACTTGTACATTATAATACTCAAGAATAAGACATCTCATAATGACACACAAAAATGTCTGTGTATATAATATATTAGAAGGATACTTGTATAATATAACGAAATAAATTTCGATTTTATTTTTTTATTTTATTATTTGTCTTTTTCGATATTATAATAGGATTTTATGTGTTTTTAAGAAATCAATAATGATTTTATTTTTGAATAAAATATAAATTTAAAAAAAAATATCAATGTTAATATCAAATCAACTATTTAAAAATTCTT